TTTTTTGAGCACTAATAAGCCAGGCCCTGGCTCAATTATTCCTCAAAAGAACCTTGTGAAATAGGTACTATGGAGATCCTCATGAATGGTCAGAAAATATGACCCACAGTCTAACAGAAATTTGATGACAACAATAGTAACAATAGCATAAAAGAGAACGGTGCTCCCCAGAGATCCAAGGAAGGAAAATTAATGTCTGATGAAGTAGTGAGTGAAGTGCAGACACATGAAGGGCTTTCACAGGAAATAGACATGAAGCTAATTCTTCAGAGGAGATTCTCCACCAGGGCAGCCAACCCATACTCTGGCAGAAGATGTACTAGAGGGGGACTTTCTGTGACCTGCACAATCTCCACACAGAAGAGTTCACATCAAAAAAACAAAACAAAACCCTGGTATTTAACTTCTCTTGAAAAATCAGAATGCCTGGCACCACTCGGCCCTCATTCTGATGTGGCAATACTGGCTGAAGCCGAGTAGCTGCAAGCTCCTGTAGCTGCAGTGTGTTCCCGCTGGTCCATCACAGTCCCTGCCACTCCCTAGGGTCTTTCACCTGGCCCTTCCTCCCATCTGCACCACCTGCCTGGCAGCCTCTGTATTTCAATTTGACTGGGGGCGCTTCCAGGCCCAATCTCAGCTGATAGAGCCCTGCTGCCACCTAGCGATCAGAGTTCATAAGTTCCCTTACTACACAGCAGTGATGCTCCCATTGTGATCAACCACTGTTCACAAGTGTTTCCTTCAGTCCTCTCACTTGCCCTGTGAGAAGAGGAATTGTACACTCTCTACAGATGAGAAAAACATCTGGGACACTCCTGCCCATGTCTGGGATTGCCCTGAATGGGAAAGGTGCCCACCCTGACTGAGAAAAAGGAAGTTTGAAAATTACTGATAAGAAAAACAGAAGACCAAGGGGCAGGTTGGGGACCCTCATCAAACTTCTTCACATGTAGAAACTTGTAGTAAATGAGTTTGCTACTTGCCTACGGCCAGGTAGGCCCTGAACTCAGGGGTTTTAAGACCAAGTGCTGGACACTTATACCATGATGCTGCTTCCCTAGGCCTGAGAAGTCTTCCCTTTCCCCTTCTCCAATCCTGTGTGCTTAATCACTCAGTAGTGTCTGACTCTTTGAGACCCTATGGACTGTAACCTGCCAGGATCCTCTGTCCATAGAATTCTGCAGGTAAGAACACTGGCGTGGGTAGCCTTGCCCTTCTCCAGGGGATCTTCCCAACCCAGGAATCAAAGCCAGGTCTCCCGCATTGCAGGCATTCTTTACCACTGAGGTACCAGGGAAGCCTGGTGGCTCAGAGAGCTCCCCAATCCTACTTATCCACAAACCCAGCACCAGCCCCACTTCCTCCAGAAAGCCTCCCTGACCCCCTCAGTATCCCCAAAGCTCCTCCTTGTCTGAACATCTAGAAGCCTGGGCCATAACAACTTCTGGGGCTGACAGCATTCTGCCTTGTGGTGCCAGGTAACTGCTTGATGCTCATATGTCCTTTATAGCTGGATGGGAGACACTTGGAGGCAGGCTTAGGTGTTCCGATCCCATCTGGGTATTATCTAGCAACGTGTATTGAACATCTATAACTTGAGGCATGTGACAGATGCTTAGGGAGATCCAGGGATGAACTAGCACTTGCATCCTAAACCACAATCCCGCGTGTGTTACTCTGCTGCTTGAAACCCTTTAGTGCCTCCTGACTGCCTTCACAATAAACCCCAAAGCTCCTTACCAGGCACAACTCACTAAGCCATCTCCCACTGCACCCACCACCCCTACACACACCATGTGCTTCAGCCTTACAGCACTTCAGTTCCCTGATGAGCCACACTTGCTCTTATCTCTGGACCTTTGACATGCCCTCCCTCCCACCTTCATCTATATTCCATTTACTGTCAGCTTGGATATCACTTCTTTCAGGAAGCCCTCCTTAGCCACCAAGTTTAAGTCAGGGGCTGGCCTCACCCTGGGCTCTGGTGGTACCTATTATCACCCATAACAACTAACACTGTGTTTAACTGTTGCCTTGCTTGCCTCCTTCATCAGACTATAGGCTTTGGGAGGGCAGGGCCCCGATCTTGGACTTCTCACTGCATCCCCAACAGCCAAGGCCAACTCCTGGAGGCACTGAAGATATGCAGTAAACACTCATTAAACGAACACATGAATAAATGAGGTGCCATTTTTATATATAGCAAGCGTCTAGTGAACAAAGGTCACACTGGCCCTCCAATGGTTAGAGTCACACAAATTTCAGCAACATTTCATCTTTAAGACCTTTATTCCCAGTAGTTGACATCAGTTATTCACCAAGCTAGAACTCACATTAACCAAGAATTTGCTCATCTTTTTGAGCATTGAGATATTGTAATCTGGTCCCCATGTCTAAAACTAGGTTGGAGCCCAAAAGGTTAAACTCCATTGCAGGGAGCAAGAGGCACCTTTGTGAATCAGTCTTCAACTCTTGGAAGTGTTGTTCAAGTCACAGGCAAATACCTTTGCAAGTCTAATATGTGTGATGGCCCAGCATTATAAGACACAGTGCAATGGTTCTAGGCATCTGGAGGGGAAAGACACATTACGCCGAGTCCTCTGGAGAAAATTCAGGCCATTCTCCATATTCTCAGTTGTGCATTTCCTCACCCTTCAGTGACTTTTTTTTTTTTTTTCCTTCAGTGACTTTTAATCTCATGGGTTATGAAAAACCACAACCCATGTGTTACTGAATACATTTTTATCTTCTTTTCGTGAGATAGATTTGGTTCCAAGTATATTTTGGTTTCCTCCCTTATGCCTACAAGAACATCCAGTTTTGTTCAGGTCCCTTTTAATGGCACTTAATAAATATACATTCTAGGACCTGAAAGAACAGGCTGTCCTGATTCAAACGTCCTCACAAGCTTTCTGTTTAAAGCATCTCAGCAAGTACAAAGTTCGGATGGGGCACATCCCTAGGTCAGAGCTTGTGACCATTTCTGACCCCAGGTCTATCTCGACCAGCACTGTGTGTCCAGGGCAGAGATCCCCAACCCTGGCCACACACTGGAAGTACTTGAGGAGCTCTCTGAATTCCTGAGGCTGGGCCACACTCCAGACAAATTGCATCAGCATCTCTGAATGGGAACCTTGCTTCAGTCATAGTTGAAAGCTACCCCAGTGCAAATAGTAGGCTCTCAAAAGTACTGTAGAACCACATTGGTTCTACTACAGCTGGATTTCCTATTTTATTACCTGCTCTCCTGTGCTTCCTGTTTGCATCAGAAATCTGAGCAGGGAAGAGAAAGGAAAATGAGTCGTAAGCATCTTAGAGTTAATTTTGTGCTCGGTGAAAGGTTGTGGGGACTGAGTTTCTCTTGCATTATGTATGCAGCCTTCATGCTTTCACAAGCCCAGAGGAGGTAAGTTACAGACTGTCTGACACAGACATGTATACACTTATTAAATGTTCTCCAAAAACCAGAGCTAACAATTTTAGGCACTACAGTTATAATACAGAGATGTTCTTGGAATTAAGTCTAAACTGCCACCTGTTTTTACACATAATCTAATGGATTTGTTCTGAAATTTGTCATTTGTTTTAAAAGGTACACTGAATCACCTTTTCTCTCTCCTGTGAATCTTGCAACTTATCTGAGCCCAAAGCGACAACTTAGAAGTGATGATCCAACAGCTGCTGCACCCAAATTTGCCCCGGTGGTCAGTCTTCCTTGAACAGGAACTCTTTTGAGAGGCTTCAATTTCTAGGTTCTAGAAAGGGATGACAATTAATGTGATCTCACCAAGTTCAAATGTTTGGTTACCTAGAATGCAGCACTGGGAGGGATCATGGATTTAAAGGAAAGGATGCCACAGTGATTATTAATGTTGGTCATGGCCATGGGCATGGAGAGTGGCCAGTTGATGCCTGGGGCCATCCTGAGACCACTTCCTGCACATCCTGCAATTATGTCACACTTCATGATTCACAAGGAGCTTCGATAACTTTGGCATCTCCTCATTCTCATCACAAGCCTGGGTTAGGTCTTAATAGATGTAAAAACTGATGTTGTGTCCTATGTCTGAGGTTCCACAGCCAACTGACATCACCTCCACTGTGGCCTCCAGGCCTTAAGCACCCTTCTGAAACCACCAGGGGTTCCCCTGGCTCCCCTTCTTCCAGAAACAGGAAACCAAGTCATAACCCATCCACCAGGCCTTTAGTTACCTGCTTCACAGTTTCCTCTGAGATTTGCATGGCCCTTTGTCCCCTAGTCCAGAGAACACAGCAGCAGTGTACAACTGCTGCCAACCTAACACACACCTCAACTGTACAACTTCATACACCCCACCTAACACACCCTCAAAAACCCCTCTCCCCTGGAGCACTTGCCTACACACATTCCAGAATTGTGACTTGTTCACACCCACTCCAGGCCCAGCCAAAAGACTCCTGGGAACCTTTCTACTGCCCTGACAAGCCCTCGCTCCCTGCTAGAGAGGGCTCCTGTGTGTTCACTGCCTAAGGTAATTCAGCTCCCACTGTGGAGAAATAAAAGCCGACTGGTCGGCTATGGTGTCTCTATATCACAGGAAGGAAGTGAGCTGTCAGGCCAGGCAGTTCTGGACTCTCCATGGGCCCTCCATGCAACCACACAGCACACAGGTAATGCTCATCTAGGTGACCCACTCCCATGGACAGGCTGGGGCAGGAGCACAGGTAAGACCGGCCACAAGCAAGTCCTGGTGCATCAGCTGGGACCTGCCATCCAGGGTGCTGTGACTCAGGTTGGAACGCCCTCTCCAGGCAGACAAAATGAGCTGCCCTGGCTGGGGCCTTTCATGCCCACCCACACCGGGCATTTCGAAAGGCTCATTTCCCTCTTCCGGCAACCTTCTCTGTGCCCTTCACCCCGCCCTAACCTGATCTCCCTATCCACCCCCAACTTTGCTTCCTTTCCTTCCCAGGGTCACAGCTTCTAACCCTCCTGGAACATGGACTTTAAGGAGGGCACCCTAAGAAGGCAAACTCCAGCCCCATGGAGCTGGACTTGGGGCCCTGGCCAGGAAGCTGGAAGGCACGTAGCCCCTCTGTCCGTTCACTTCCACAAGGCTCCATTCTGGGTTCCCCTTCTTGTCCTGGGCCTCCAGCACAGTCACCCGCTGGCCTGCCTGCAGACTCACTTCATGGCTGCTTCTGGCCACGAAGGGGTACATGGCCACCACCTGAAACACATGGGGAACGACACAGAAGTGGTCAGGCTGAGAGGACAGACAAACCCAACCCAGAGAAGCTGTTTACCCTCTTCCCTGCCACCTGACTCAGTGGCTGGGCAGTCACTGCCTCCCAAATGCATCCTTTGACCAAAGATGTCAGCTACCTCCACTCTGCTAATACCTACTGGATGGCAGGCTCTTTGTCTGGTTTTGATTTTCACAGTTCTATTTCCTCCTTTTTTCAGATAAGGAAATTAAGACTCAGAGACGTCAAGGAACTAATTCAAAATCACATAGCAGTGACGCTGACCTGTCTGACCTCAGGAGGGGTGCTCTCAGTCCACTGCTGCCATCCTACTGAGAAGACGACTCAGAGTCCCTTCCTCACTACCCTCCTCAGATCCAAGGGTGTCATCTGTCCAGGCCAATTTCCCAGCTTGGTGTAGAGACAGGAGGGATGGTTGGGCAACTCTGTTACTTTTTAGGGAAAGGGTCCCCCCCCCCAAAAAAATAATGGAGGGGAGGGCACTTAGGCTGATATTTTACCTCCCTGGGCCTCAGTTTCATCATCTGTAAAATGGAAGGATGATATCCTTCCCTCCAGATAATTGTGGGAACTTAATGGATGAATGCCTGTGCCTGGTACATAGTAAGGGCTCAACAAATGCAGGCTGCTTTGTTAATAATATTAATAATAATAATATTATTTTGGCTGTGCCATGCAGCTTGAGGGATCTCAGTTCCCTGACGAGAGATGGAACCCAGGCCTAATGAGTGAAAGTGCCGAGTTCTAACCACTGGATGACCAGGGAATTTGCTGCTTCGCTTATTTTTACCACGACTTTTTTTTTTTTTGGCTGCGCTGGGTCTTTTGTTGCTGCGGTTTTCTCTAGTTGCTTTGTTTCTCTAGTTGTGGCATGTGGACTTCTTGTGGAAGTGGCTTCTCTTATTGCAGAGCACGGGCCCTAGGATGTGCAGGCTTCAGTGGTTGTGGCTTCCGAGCTCCAGAGCACAGGCTCAACAGTTGTGGTGCATGAGCTCAGCTACCTCATGGCATGTGGGATCTTCCCGGGTCAGGGGTCACACCCGTGTCTCCTGCACTGGCAGGCGGATTCTTTACCACTGAGCCACTAGGGAAGCCCCTACCATGATTTTTATTACTATGGGCCATGAACAGTCAGAGGCAACAGGGGACTGGAATGACCCCATGTGAGTCCCACTGAGCAGAGGCACAAAGAGGAAGCAGCTGATGTCTCTGGGCTGATGGACAGCTGAGCTCTCCACATGAGCCCCTAGGTGAGGGTTCTGGGGACACCATCCACACTGGCTGGCGATGGGGTTGAGTTGGGTGGCCAGGCTCCCTTGTGGGACCCTTGTGGGTCCTTTGTCGATGGGTGGGTGTGTCTAGCTGGAGGCAGCCCTGGTGTAGCACTTCTAGCTAATTCTCCTGGCACTGGCCTGAGAACCTTCTCAGCACGTGCCAGAGCTGTACATCACAGTTTCCATGGGCTTCTATGCAGCCCTCCCTCAGCCCATTCCAGGCTCCCCAACTATTCACTGCAGGCCTCTCGGTCCCTGCCCCTGGGCCTGGGTCCTTTCTGCTGTTCATTCATCACCTTTGAAGCTCCTCCTCCATAACTGTGTGTGCTGCCTCCATTTACTGATGCTCCCACGTGCCAGCCGCTAACTACCTAAATCAACCCTCACAGTGACCTCACTAACCTTCTTCCCCCTAGGATTTGGCTCTGCAAAGCCTTCCCATCACGTTTTCTTTTGAGATATAATTCACATACACACACTCTACCCTTTCAAAGTGTACAATTCAGTAGTTTTTAGTATGTTCTCAAGGTTGTGCCACCACCATCATTATGTAATTCCAGAACCTCTTCATCATCCCAAAGAGACCCTAGACCGCTTAGCAGTCACTTTCCACTCCCCTTGCCTCTAGCCCCTGACAACCACTGATCTACTTTCTGTCCCAATGTAACTGCCTATCCTACACATTTTGAATAGAGAATCACACATTACATGGTCTTCTGTATCGAGCTACGTGTGGTAGCATGTGTCAGAACGTCATTCTTTCTCTTGGCTGTATAATATTTGAAATTGCATGGATATGCCAGATTTTGTTTATTCTTTCATCAGTTGATGGACATAGGTTGTTTCCACTTAGGGGCCGTTATGAATAATGCTGCGATGAACATACATGTACAAGTTTCCCATGGCATTTTATGAGAAAGATCAACACCCTTGGCAAGGCCACAGGCCCCAGTGGCTGGCCCCACCCCACCTCTTCAACAGCACTTCACTGCCCCTATCTTGCTGGCTCCACTCAGTTCCTTACTAACCGTGTCCTCCCCAGCCCTGGGCTTTGCATTTGCTGGGCATGTTTTCAGGGAAGTTCTTCCCATTCACACCCCTTTATCCAATTACTTCCTATTCATCCTTCAAATCTGAACAAAAGCATGATTCTTTTCAGAAAAACCTTCCCTAATCCTCTCCCTCACTTAAGGCTCTGGCACCTATCACTAATAGAAATTTGAGATCATTTATATGATTATTTTATTAATCACTGTTTCCCCTACCTCCTAGATTATAAATTTGAGGAAGGCAAGGGCCAAGGTTGACCTCTGCTTATCACTGTATCTCTCATCTAACACAGTGCCTGGCTTATACTGAATAATGAATGCATGAATAAATGAATGAATGAAATAATCCCACTTGTTCTGCTTACTGGAGAGTAAAGGATTAGCTCTCCTCTTGACATGGCAGGGATGAGAGTTCCCTTTCTATAGGTACACGCCTGGCCAGGACACTGGTGTGGCCACTGCACAGGGTGGTAACTCCTCCTGACAGGAGGAAAATCAAAGCCCTGCTCCAGATGGCCCCCACCCCTCTTCTAGGCTCACCTGGGTCACAGTTGGGACAGAGGGGACCAGGGCTGAGGTGGACTCTGGTGTCTGATGTTGGAAGTCTCTGTGAGGCCTCGCCTGCCCTCTGAGCTCCTCCTCACTGGGGACCACGTGGTACACCTCCAGTTTTCCAGCTGGCACATACCCTCGATGTCCTGCAGGACATACAGAATGTTATCTGGCTGTGGATCGCCCCTTTCAGTGGTAGAGGAAGTCACCGCCATTCATGGATGTGACTGCCTCCAATACAGCTTCTCAGCACTACAGAGGACCTTGAAAAGTCATCTCAGAACCTCACAAAACCACTCACCCCACCCTGCTCTCACTCTCTCTAGCTTCTGCTTGTTTGCCCCAGTGACAGGGAGCTCATTCCCCACAGAGGCAACCCAGTTCATTTGGAACAGCTCTGGCAGACAGAAAGTTCTTCCTTGGACTGGAATGAAAACTGTTTTCCTGGTGCTGGCACCTCTGGTCCCCTGTCCAAGCAAGGTTACTCCTCACTGCAGGACTGCCTTCCCAGGAGGCAGAAATTGCCTTTCCCTTCTCCAAGTGCCCCCAGTCCCTTCTTGTAACAGCTACCCCAGGGGTGTTCTGGCTGCTGTTACTGTGAATGGCTGTCACCTTCTGAGAGCTTGCCTGGTGCTGAACTGCACTGGACCACTTAGTCTTCATATCAGCTCTCAAGGTCAGTATTGTTATCTCCATTTTATTGCTGAACCAACAGGGCTCAGAGAGGCTCCATAACTCCTCCAGGATCATGCAGTTAGTAAAGTGCTGAGTTGGGATCCAAACCTGGTCTTCTTGACTGCAGGAGCCTTGTTTTAATCTTCATCCAGCTCAAGTTTTTCAACTAGAGTCCAGAGTTTCCCTTTTTATGATTTTTGCCAGATCTGTACCATCTTAATTATTTAATAAACTCACTTTTCAAAACTTAAGTGTTGTACTATACATTGATAACAATGAATAAAATCATGGGTTTCTGTACTAGTTATATTTTTTCTAATAAACATTAAAATACTAAATTAAAATAAAGTATCTGAAGTGGGGAAAACTGTCTGCAGATCCCCTCCCAATAGTCCTGTGTAACCGTCATCTGTGGATCACATGCCCCTCAGTGGAGATGCTGGGGCATCTCGTCCTGGGTTCATGGTGCCCCTTGCTTCCTGCCCTGATGTCTCCTGGGGCACCCACATCTGAGCAGCACACCCAGGGACCTGACCAGAGCAGAGGGAGCAGGATAACATCAACTTCATTCTCGATGTCAGACTTCTGTCCCTACAGTTGGGATCCGAGTGTTCCTTCTCCACGCATTGCCATTCTTCAAGGTGATCCACAGAACTGCATCTACACCAGTGACTTGTGAGGTCCCCAAGGCAGTCCTTGTGAGTCCTTGCCTTCCTTACAAAGTGCCCAGCACATAGGAGGTGTTTGATACGGATGTTGCAACATAAGACAACTTCTCTTTTTAGCATCTCATACACCACACTAAGCTGGCTATGTCCCCAAGCCCTCCAAGTTCACCTGTGTTCATTCCCAGCCTGGATCTGCATAGCCAGACCCCACTCACAAGAGCGCCCGTATCTCCCCACTGGCTCTCATTGGGTGGTTTTCCCAAAGGGCGGGGAAGTGCCCCCTGAAGTCCCATGTACCTCCAGTGTCCACCAGCCATCGGCTGCTGTTGCCTTTGGTGTCCTTGTTTTGAAGGAGGGCTACGATGTGGCCCCGTGGCAGGGTCAGGTCCAGAGTCCCAGCCCCACTGACGTTGCTTGTCACCTGGTACAACTTTCCTGGGCCATACTTGCTCAGGAGCGCCTGCACCTGGCGTTCAGCCCCTGGAAGGAGTGGCTGGGAGAGGGAGAAAGACAGACAACAGTGCTGGAGCTGGAGGGTTAAAGCTAACACCAGTGTTGGCCGACATGCTGACAGCCAGGAGTCCTGGGCCAAGTCCACCTCTGCTCCCCATAGACTCATCCCAGCCAGGGCAACAGCCTCCTCAACAACAAATGGATGGATCAGATGAGAAACACATGCTCTTAGTATCCAAAGGCATTTCAGAAGAAATGCATTCAGAAGAAAGGCATTTGAGAAGAAGCTTCTAAAATCCTTCTCTGGTCTCAATTTCTTGGGATTTCTAAAATCCTAAGTCAGTTTCTGAATCTCCCAGCTACAGAATTCCAGGACTGGGCCCTAAATTCTGCCCATAGCATTAAGCTAAGCTGTCCCACAGGAAAATGCCTTACACACATCTTTCAACACCAGTGAGCAAGACTATAAGTGTCATGTCAGCACCAGCTCTTACTCACCTGGGATCTTAAATAGCCAGCACAGGGCTGACACATGTAGACCCCTCACACATGGGTGAATGAAGGGAATTCAGGGTTTTATTCCATGGGTTTTGAGTCCACAAGCCTTTATTGAGCCCCCTACCATTTACAAGGCACGGTAAGCCCTGTGAATGACAACAGAGTTTTTCCTTAATGAAAATTGCCATCTAGCTAAGGAGAATGATTCAGTGCATTTTCAGAGCATCTAGAAATTTGGCACTGTCTTTGTTTTTTCATTCACTGCTTCCAACTAAAGTATTAACAAGAAGGGACTCAGGAGATTGTCCCCTTCTGTAAAACAAAGAAGCTAAAAATATTGAATATAGATTTATTATATATTCTCTCTCACTAGATATATATGGATGGACATGTATTCACTATACTCTATATGGTGATTTCCAGGTGGAGAGGTGCTAGGTGTAGGGAGGTAGGCAGAGATTCCCTTCAGGGACACTTGGGCATGGACTCTGCCATCTCCCTTACCTCCAACAGGTTCCTGAATCAGGATCAAGAACCAAGAGAATCCCAGGTTTCTAAATAGGCCCACAAACAAAAGTGTAGAGACACAGTAGCTCTTTTTCAGAACGGTGGTGTTAACGCAAGTATGGGGTAGCAAACGTTTGTCTTCTTTCTCAAGAATCTGCCCCTCCCTGTGCGAAGAACAGCAGCACTCCCTGGAGATACTGGGGAGGCCTACAAAGATCACACTGGTACTCTCATGTCCTGGGGGGTGACCCCATTCCTCTGGGATCTGTACCCGTAGCCAAATAAGTCAGGAATTTATAGGAAGGTGTGTGTCTGTGTATCTGTGTGTGTGCTGCAGGGATACATGAGAGGAGAGATGGGGAAGCTGGGGGTGGGGCTGGGGTCATGGGAGTTCCTTCTCTTCCTACCAATCTGCCACACATCAGGACTAAGATGTTCCCATTTCTTTCTATTTTTATGTATATTCTCTTCTTTTTCCTGCAATCACCATGGCTTGTTTTTCCAATAAGAAAAAATGTTATTTTGTCTTAAGTAGAAAAAGATAGAAGTTTCCACAGCTCATCTGAGTGGCCGCTCTGGTCTTGGTTTCCTTCACCCTTCCTCCCCTTGGGTGGCAGAGCCCATGTAACAGCCCCAGTGAGTCCTCTGCTGGGCGTCTCACTGTGGGCAACGAAGTGGGGACAGCTCACTCCCAGGTGGAGGCCACCCCACTTGAAGTGCACATACCCCTCTGATGCTCTTTGACATCCTCTATGCTCTGGTCAGGTGCAAAGGCCACCTGTCTCTGCAAAGTTCTTCTGGGCTCCTTTAATGTTCCCCCCATGTCTCTTGGGCCCCCTTCTCCCTTTGGGGGAATCTTGGACCTGTCTCCTGACCCTCACGTCACATCTCACATGTGACTGAATATAGTTTCAGTTTTCTCAAACCCAGGTTTCATCATACTCTGAGAGGCTCTTTGCCCTTTAGCTACTTCAATTACTAAAACATACATGATATTTTATATATTCTTTTAAAAATTTTTTAAAGTTTATATATCTTTTTAAAATTATTAGGCTGATTTTATTCTTTTTTATGGTTTTGTCTTTATGTTTAATTGGAAGATAACTGCTTGATAATATTGTCTTGATTTTTGCCATACAACAATGTGTATCAGCTGTAAGTGTACATATATTCCCTCCCTCTTGAATCTCCCTCCCACCCCGCCCATCCTACTCCATTATTTTATATATTCTTGAAGAATTCTTCGAGTGGACTGCAAGATACCCTTCCATTATATTTTAGAGGAAAACTATTTTACCACCCAAAAAAGCCTTTGGCCAGCCAAAGTTCTGTCAACCACAATGCAGCTGAAACACTGTCTTTTGCAATTAAAACTTTCATAGCAAAAAGAAAATCTAAATTCTTCTAGTTCAAACATTTTATTTATCCTGAATGCTTGTATTTGAAGCAAGTTCTATGAGAAAGTGATGAGGAAACAAGGTTAATTTTGCTGAAAAATCTGAAGAAGTTGCAGGTTTCAGGGTGTTAATGCCACTTGCCTGTTATGATGTCATTAAGAGCAAAATGTTTAGGTTATCTTCTTAACCAGATTTTATACTTATCAACCATGAAGAGAATGTGTGTGTGTGTGTGTGTGTGAGAGAGAGATTTCCACCCCACCCTCATCCCCAGGTCACAGAAAGGAGAGAGGGAAAGGCAACGTGTTTCTGGGGTAACAGGGGACAATTGGGAAAAGAAAAGGGGAAGGAAATAGGGGGCTGATCTCACCCCACTGGCAGGTGAAGGACTGGACAGTCTTTGAGGGGGAAGGAGGGACACTTACTTGTGTGGTGGGAGGTGGCAGCACTTTCTCGAAGTTCTCTTGAAAGGAGTGAAGCTGGTGACTGGTCTGGCCTAGTGCATCCTCCACCAGCTTCCTGAAGGCCGGCTCAGACAGGTGGTGGTGGGGGAGCTGGGGAGCACAGACACTGTCATCAGAGCCCTCCTTGGCAGAGAGGAGACCTCTCTGTCAGGGAGACCCTGACAGCCACACTCCAGCCCCAGCTGTTAGGATGGGCCTTTATGTCTTTGTCCTGGTTTGGCCTGGATACTGCCCCACCTTCCTTTATGAAAGCATTCCTCTAAAGGGGTCCAGTGGTATTGTCCCTCCTGGTGCCTGGACACAAGACTGGCAGTCACAGCATCCCTTTTCTTATCTATCGTGATTGGTCAAGGAGTGGACAGTGGACTAGAGCAAGGCCAATCGGAATCTTCCCATCAGATTTAGTACATGAAGGCTGTGAGTGACAGGGTGATTCTTCTTTTAGATCCTGAGATGTTAAGGTAAACACTTGGAGCTGTTGAGAGCCACTCTCTCCCACCTTGCAGAAAACGCCTGCTTGACAATAAAGCCAACCCAGAGAGGGAAACAGCCAGGAGATGCAGTGAAAGCCAGAGCCTCAACAACATTGTTTGTTGGGTCTCCCAGTTATACAATTGTATAATGTGTTCTTTATGCCTAAGCTGGTTTGGAGCCCAAGGAGTTCTGAACGATGCTCCATCCTGGGACCTTGGCCCTGCTGGGCAACTCTTGCATTTTCATCAGACAGTCTAGAAGTGACCACGGCCCCACAGCTAACAGAGACATGTCCTCTCTGCTGGTCACCAAAACCACCAGGGCCTTTCCTCTGCCCCCAGGATGCAGAGAGATTGAGGTTCTACCATGTGGGCCTTTCCCAGGTTCCAGAGGACTCTCCAGGAGAATGGGACATGGGACACAGGAAGCTGTATTCAATCATTAACAGGCCCTAAGATTCTATATTACAAGATCAATCAAGAAATGCCCTCTTTCTGGGACTTCCATGGTGGTCCAGTGGTTAAGACTCAGTGCTCCCAATGCAGGGGGCACAAGTTCAATCTCTGGTGGGGGAACTCAAATGCCACATAACACAGTCAAAAAAAGAAAAAAAGAAATGCCCTCTTTCTGCTCTTATGAAGTTGACCTCCCCACTACAGTATCCTAGAATACTCCCCAGCCTGCATTCAGTTCATTCAGTTCAGTCCAATTCAGTCGCTCAGTCATGTCCGACTCTGTGATCCCATGAACTGCAGCACGCCAGGCCTCCCTGTCCATCACCAGCTCCCAGAGTTTACTCAAACTCATGCCCATCGAGTCGGTGATGCTATTCAGCCATCTTATCCTCGGTTGTCCCCTTCTCCTCCTGCCCCCAATCCCTCCCAGCATCAGGGTCTTTTCCAATAAGTCAACTCTAGCCCTGCATGAAGTGAAGTGAAGTTGTTCAGTCGTGTCTGACTCTTTGCGACCCTATGGACTATAGCCTACCAGGATCCTCAGTCCATGGGATTTTCCAGGCAAGAATACTGGAATGGGTTGCCATTTCCTTCTTCCTAGCCCTGCATAGCCCAGTGTAAATACAAGAGGGTCTGGCTGCCCCAGATGGAAGACTAGAGGGTGAGAAGAGAATGAGAAGATTATCTGGTCAGATTTACCCTCTGCCTTCAGGAAAGAGAAGTGCTTCTTTTTGCAGATGGTTTGGGCTTAATTCAAAAACAGTGTCTGACCACCATCCCAGGTTGGATGCATGAGACAAGTGCTCAGGGCTGGTGCACTGGGAAGACACAGAGGGATGGGATGGGCAGGGAGGTGGGAGGGGGGATCGGGATGGGAAACACATGTAAATCCATGGCTGATTCATGTCAATGTATGGCAAAAACCACTACAATATTGTAAAGTAATTAGCCTCCAACTAATAAAAATAAATGAAAAAAAAAAAGAAAAAAAGAAGAAAAAAAAGTTGATGTACCCATCAAAAAACAAAACAAAAAGTGTCTGAGGACAGGACTCTGTACTAAATGCTATGAGGGCCAAAAAGAAGAGAAGCTTAATGAGGGGAAACAGCTTCATCCATCACCCTAGCAGGATGCAGGCTCTGATAAGAGCTTAAGAGAAGCACATCCTGAGAGCTTCTGGAGTACAGAGGATGGGGAGATGGGTTCTCCCCCCTAGAGAAAGGGGATTCTGAGAGCTTCATGGAGAGATTCATTCGTCCCTTATTTGTGGAGGTCTTATCACATGTCCCTGGTGGCTCAGATGGTAAAGCGTCTGTCTACAATGCAGGAGACCTGGGTTCGATCCCTGGTTTGGGAAGATTCCCTGGAGAAGGAAATGGCAACCCACTCCAGTACTTGTGCCCAGAAAATCCCATGGACGGAGGAGCCTGTGTCCATGGGGTCGCAAAGAGTCGGACACGACTGAGCAACTTCACTCACTCACTCACTACCACATGTTAGGCACTGTGAAAGGTATGGGGGAGATGGGAGGGACATTCTAGGCTGAAGAAGGAGTCTATGCAAAGTGCCTGTGATCATACTCAGAAGTGGTGGGAGGCTGCAGCTGCAGAGTGAGACTATGGGCTGGGAAGGTAGTGGTAAGCGTTCAGTTCAGTTCAGTTTAGTTGCTCAGTCGTGTCCGACTCTTTGTGATCCCATGGACTGCAGCAGGCCAGGCTTCCCTGTCCATCACCAACTCACAGAGCTTGCTCAAACTCATGTTCATCAAGTCAGTGATGCCATCCAACCATCTCATCCTCTGTCATCCCCTTCTCCTGCTACCTGAAATATTTCCCAGCATTGGGGTCTTTTCTAGTGAGTCAGTTCTTTGCATCAGGTGGCCAAAGTACTGGAGTTTCAGCTTCAGCATCAGTCCTTCCAACAAATATTCAGGGCTGATTTCCTTTAGGACGGACTGTTTGATCTCTTTGCAGTCCAAGGGACTGTCAAGAGTCTTCTCCAACACCACAGTTCAAAAGCATCAATTCTTGGGCACTCAGCTTTCTTTAGAGTCCAACTCTCGTATCTATACATGACTACTGGAAACACCATAGCTTTGACTAGACAGACCTTTGTTGGCAAAGTAATGTCTCTGCTTTTTAGTATGCTGTCTAGGTTGGTCATAGCTTTTCTTCCAAGGAGCAAGTGTCTTTTAATTTCGTCTTTTAACTAATGGCTGCAGTCACAAAGTCTGCACTGATTTTGGAGTCCAAGAAAATAAAGTCTGTCAGTGTTTCCATTGTTTCCCCATCTATTTGCCATGAATTGATGGAACCAAATGCCATGATCTTAGTTTTCTGAATGTTGAGTTTTAAGGAAGCTTTTTTACTCTCCTCTTTCCCTTTCATCAAAAGGCTCCTCAGTTCCTCTTCACTTTCTGCCATAAGGGTGGTGTCATCTGCATATCTGAGGTTATTGATATTTCTCCCAGCAATCTTGACTCCAGCTTCTGCTTCATCCAGCCCGGCATTTCACATGATGTATTCTGCATATAAGTTAAATAAGCAGGGTGACAGTATACAGCCTTGACTTACTCCTTTCCCAATTTAGAACCAGTCTGTTGTTCCATGTCCGGTTTTACCTGTTGTTGCTTCTTGACAGATTTCTCAGGAGGCAGGTCAGGTGGTCTGGTATTCCCATCTCTTTAAGAATTTTCCACAGTTTGTTGTGATCCACACAGTCAAAGTGGTATCACACAGTGATAAGGGTGGGGGGTGGAAAATTTCAGCGGGATTTTTATGCAATAAACTGGATGGAGAAAGCTGAGCTGGAGCACTGAGGCACAGGAAGCACCATATGGAACGAGCAACACTGACATTTCTCTAGAGCTTAGACCCACAGGCCACTGAGCTCTGATGCTGCTATCAGAGAGAGACTGAAGAAAAGCTGAGTCTTCTTTCCTATACAAACCCCAGTCTTCAAAATTCTAAAATCAAAGTTTACACTTACGAGATTTGTTTAAACCTCTCTGTGCCCTATTTATGCTTTCAGCAGATGGCTGTTTTTAACAGGCTGTCAGGCATTGTGGTTCAGGCTCTAGAGTTCACCTGCCAGGATTTAAATTTAGCCATGAGCTATATGGCTTGGGCAAGCTGCTTAACATCTGTGGTCCTGGCTTCATTTTGAAATGAGAATAATAACAATACCTACTCTGTGGGGTTATTGTGAGGATTAAGTGAGACAATATATGGAAAGTGTTCCAAACCTAGTGCGCAGTAAGGGCTCACAGGCAGATGGCTGCTAGAAGTAGTAGCAGGGGCAGGAACACCAGCTTGAAGCATTTACTCCCGACTGTGTAGAAGGGGCCCTGTCTCTTGTCACCTGCTTCTAATACGCTCCAGAGAATGGCCCCAAGCCTGTTATTTTCCCAGGCGAGCCTCCTGTGTTTCTGAGTCCCAGAGCCTGCAAGTGGCCTAGAGTCCCAGTTCTATACTACCCTTGCTGCCATGGTCTGACTCTATTAATGGAGGGAAAATAAGCATGAGAGAGATCCAGAAGGTCCCCATGGCCTCCTCCTGAGCACCTGGTAGCTTGTTGGGGAGGCCCAACTTCACTCCACCCCAGCCCATTCAAACAACCCACTGAAGGGATGAGGAGGCCCAGCCAGGCAATTTCCCAGACGTACCCCAGTCCCAGAGGCCTTACCTGGGCCAAGCTGTCCTCTGCCCTCTGCAGCACTTGCTTTGCAAGGTCCCTCTGGAGAGTCACAAATGTGCAGAGGATCTGGCCGAGCCACCGCATGGCCAGCTGGTTAAACTGTGGGAGTTCAGCCACTAGCAGGGAGTTGAGTGCCTGGTAAGTGTGCCGGGCTGCCTCCTCCTCGTAGGTCACGCTGCCCACCTCCAACAGCTTCTCTTCCACCCTCTCAAAGTCCAGTAGTTTGTCCAGACGCTTCTTGATCAGGTTCTGAGGGCCTACCAAGGTTTTGGCCAGGCTGCACAATGGCTGCCACACCTGGGCTTCCAGCTGCTGCTTCTGTGGGAAGAGGTGAGCATGGGAGTTGAAGAAGGAAGTGGCAGAGGGTGGCCACGGGAAGAAGGTGCTTTGGAGGGAGGCTCCAGTGCCATTCTCACTGAACAGCTGTGACCTCTAGCATGATATCTAACCTTTATGAGCCTCAAAGTGCCCATCTGAGAAATGAGGACAATGCATGTAACAAGCTTAGCAGAGGGCACAGAATAAGTATTCAATATATGTCACTTCTTAATATGCTTACTGTGCAGAGATGTTGAAAAAATTTTGTATAGGATGGTGAGCAAGACCATAGTCCTTGGGGCTAAGATCTTAGCTTGTCATTGATCATCTGAATAACCTGGGAGGTCACCCTCTCTGAGCCTCATCTGCAGAATGGAATTATTAACAGTATTTACCCTGTAAGCTATGTTGTGAGGATTAAATGAGTAAAGAATGTAAAGACTTTAGCACAGTGCTTGGCAGATAACATGGCTCAATAAACATTAGCTGGCACTATTTTTATCAGGAAAACACACTAATAATAATCTCCACCCTGCTGACTACCCAGGACAGTTATGGATGTAACCATTGAGGAAAGGGCCTCGCTTCTAAATATTATTCTTATAGACTCTGCCACCTGACTGAAAAAAAGAAGGGAGAAGTTCCACTCACAAACTCTGGGAAGGCCTGGAGCTGCAGGTCTCTTGCCAGGTAACAGTACTGTACCACAGGCCCCCCGGGGATTTCCAGATTGCAGTCCTGAGGCCGGAAGCGGAGGAAAGCCTAGATGGGGGTCAAAGGAGAGCCCACTGAGACCATCTCACACCTGAATGCCCCTCTACGACATCCCGGAAGAGGTAGCCCAGGCTGTCTGCACACCCTCCAAGTGTCTGCACATAGCTAATCTATCCTTGCACAACTTGGGTGATTAGAATGTTCTTTCTCTAAGCCCACATCTTTCTCCCTATTCCAGTGTTGCCTCCAATTCACACACTTCTCGTTATCACCTTTGTGAATTTTTTTTCTGCCATGTCTGCTCCTCATGTTCTAATAATACTTTTCCTTAAATCAACCTAGCATCCCTATTTAAATCAATGCATTAAAACAAACAAACAAACAAAAACACCTTATGGGGAATTCCCTGGCAGTCTAGTGGTTAGGAGTCCGTGCTTTCACTGCCAAGGGCCCAGGTTCAGTCCTTAGTCAGGAAACTAAGATCCCACAAGCTGCATGGCATGGCCAAAATAAAACACCTTATGATACTTCCATAAAGGGAAAGCCCGGAGAAGGCAATGGCACCCCACTCCAGTACTCTGACCTGGAAAATCCCATGGATGGAGGAGCCTGGTAGGCTACAGTCCATGGAGTCGCTAAGAGTCGGACACAACTGAGTGACTTCACTTTCACTTTTCACTTTCATGCACTGGAGAAGGAAATGGCAACCAACTCCAGTGTTCTTGCCTGGAGAATCCCAGGGACGGTGAAGTCTGGTTAGCTGCCATCTACAGGGTCGCACAGAGTCAGACACGACTGAAGCAACTTAGCAGCAGCAGCAAAGGGAAAGCCAGTAATAATTGCCATAAATAAGCATGTTAAGAATAACTGTTATGAAAACAATGCTATTAAATTCTGTCTGGGCGTCATGGCCAGCTGAAGCCTTCCAGCCTGAGATTGGTTCTGCTGGTTTATTTACACGCCAGCAAAAGAGGCTTTTCCTGGACTCTGAGGATTAAAAGAAAGAGTCAATTTCTTGCTATGGGATTCCATGTCAACACTGTATCTGTCATGTAAATCCTGCATTCAGGGCAACGCAGCCTTAATGCTTCTAAGTATCTGTTCTTCTCTGCAAAGCCAGACGTGTCTCCTGGGGGCTTCTGGTTTCTCTCTCTCAAGGCCCCTCCATTCTTTCCCTGAGGGCCTTCCCCTTCTTACTCACTGTGCTGTTATCTTTCCTTGGAGTCTGGGGCAAGATGGAGCAGGAACAAGCAGGGGGTGTGTCCAACACAGAAAAGCATAGAACTATGACCTCTCTTCTACACACTTCCAATAATGCCACTCCAAATCCTATTATCCAAAGAGCCTGTTATCATCTGACTGAGCTGGTCTGTGCAAATGGATGTGACTGAGAACAAAACCACGAAAAAGGGACAAAGTGGATAGAATGAGTCAGCATCGATGACAAGAACGAAGTGGGAATTTGGGCACAAGGAAAGTGATGTGCTGGTTGGGAATGCAAACTGGTGTCCTTGTAGGCTGATTCTGGCTTGCAGAAATGTATTTTCTTGGGCCCACATAACATTTAGATTCTTATTTAATTAGTTGCTCACGTGGACACATCATGAGATTTTACCTAAAGGTCTCAATTTTCAGTTTTCTTCTTCCTTAAAATCAAAAGAATAGGCAGCATTGGGTCCACACTCCCATGCAGCAACAACTCCCATGAAACAGGGCATTTTATTTTATTTTATTCATTTATGCATTTATTCAGTCATTCAAACTCCAAATATTACTACATATTGAACTCTACCATAAAAGTCTCATAAATAGACAATAGGCCTATACACCTATACACTTCAGTCAATAACATTACCTGCCTGGTCCCTGTGAGCACCTGCTCTAGTGCCGGCCTGGCAGGGTCCTTGCAGAGGACTCTGTTTCCAGTGAATCTGACTCTGCCCAGTGGGAACCCCAGTCCCTGAGCACTCAGTGAGCTCAGAAGTTGCCCCAGCTGGATAACCTCTGGATTAAGGAGTGCTTGCCCATGGCCCTTCTCTGGCCTCCAACCAGCAACTGTTACGATCTCTTCCAATTGGTTCTTGAAGCTGGTGCCTTTGTCAGGGGCTTGTTCAATGGGCCCTATGTACCTGCCCAGGTATCCCAGCCCCGCCCCCTTATTATTTACCACCGGGCCCTCACCTCCAAATTGTCCAGGTAAGCAGCCATGTTGCTCTTCAGCTCGGTCACACACAGCGACACCCAGTGGAACCTCTCTTCTAAGTCATCAAATTCCTTGTCTTCCGTCTGAGAGTAAAGTTACGCTTAGGAGGGCCGAGAGCATCCACGTGGGGGCAGTGTACACCTCCGTCCCAAGTCCTCGCTAGGAACCACCCACACACACCTTTCCACAAACCCGCGCATCAGAGCCATTCCTCCAGTCCCCAAACTGAGTGGGATGGTTAGAGGCAGTAAGTGCGGCTTAGTGGTTTTGTATTCAGACCATGGAATCAGACACACAAGCTCTGGTTCACTTGCTTCCTGTCTGTGTGACCTTAGGCAAGTGTTTTGCCCTCTTGGAGCCTGTTTCCTCATCTGCAACATGGAGATAATATGAACATTTACTTCATCGTGTGGAACCATTAATGCCTGGTTCAGAGTAAGTACTCAGTCAACCTAAGTTTCTATTAGTAGCTATTCAAGGCTGGTTCCTTGCTCAGACCCAGACATAAGTTCTCTCCTATCTGTATCCAGGGGCTTTGCTGGTGACTAAAAGGTAAAGAATCCGCCTGCAGGGCAGGAGACACAGGAGATTCAGATTTGATTCCTGGGTCAGGAAGATCCCCTAGAGGAGGAAATGGCAACCCATTCTATTATTCTTGCCTGGAGAATCCCACTGACAGAGAAGCCTGGTGGGCTATAGTCTATAAGGTTGAAAAGACACAACTGAGTGACTGAAAACACACACACACACCCCTATATCAAGAGGCCCTGGAGAAAGAGCAGCACAAGGTGCAGAGGAGAAAGCCCCACCCTGGCTCTTCAGAATCAAGTGGAGGGACTGTTCATTAACTTCCAGTGCAGGGGTGTGGGTTTGATTCCTGGTTAAGAAGCATTACTACGAGCAAAGCTAGCGGAAGTGGTGGAATTCCAGCTGAGCTGTTTCAAATCCTAAAAGATGATGCTGTGAAAGTGCTGCACTCTATATGTCAGCAAATTTAGAAAACTCAGCAGTGGCCACAGGACTGGAAAAGGCCAGTTTTCATTTCAATCCCAAAGAAAGGCAATGCCAAAGAATCTCATTTCATATGCTAGCAAAGTAATGCTAAAATTCTCCAAGCCAGGCTTCAACAGTACTTGAACCATGAACTTCCAGATGTTCAAGCTGGATTTAGAAAAGGCAGAGGAACCAGAGATCAAATTGCCAACATCCGTTGGGTCATCAAAAAAGCAAGAGAGTTCCAGAAAAACATCTACTTCTGCTTTATTTACTACACCAAAGCCTTTGACTGTGTGGATCATAACAAACTGTGGGAAATTCTTAAAGAGAAAGGAATACCAGAATACTTGACCTGCCTCCTGAGAAATCTGTATGCAGGTAAAGAAGCAACAGTTAGAACTGGACATGGAACAAAACATTGGTTCCAAATCGGGAAAGGAGTATGTCAAGGCTGTATATTATCACCTTGCTTATTTAACTTATATGCAGAGTACATCATGAGAAACACTGGGCTGGATGAAGCACAAGCTGGAATCAAGACTGTCGGGAGAAATATCAATAACCTCAGATATGCAGATGACACTACCCTTATGGCAGAAAGCAAAGAAGAACTAAAGAGCCTCTAGATGAAAGTGAAAGAGGAAGAGTGAAAAAGTTGGCTTAAAACTCCACATTCAGAAAACTAAGATCATGGCATCCGGTCCCATCAATTCATGGCAAATAGATGGGGAAACAATGGAAACAGTGACAGACTTTATTTTTTGGGCTCCAAAATCACTGCAGATGGTGATCGCAGCCATGAAATTAAAAGACACTTATTCCTTGGAAGAAAAGTTATGACCAACCTAGACAGCATATTAAAAAGCAGAGACTTTACTTTGCCAACAAAGGTCTATCTAGTCAAAGCTATGGTGTTTCCAGTAGTCATGTAGGGATGTGAGAGTTGGACTATAAAGAAAGCTGAGCACTGAAGAATTTATGCTTTTGAACTTTAGTGTTGGAGAAGACTCTTGAGAGTACCTTGGACAGTAAGGAGATCCAACCAGTCCATCCAAAAGGAAATCAATCCTGAATACTCACTGGAAGGACTGATGCTGAAGCTGAAACTCCAATTCTTGGCCACCTGATGCAAAGAACTGACACATTTGAAAAGACCCTGATGCTAGGAAAGATTGAAGGCAGGAGGAGAAGGGGATGACAGAGGATGAGATGGTTGGATAGCATCACTGACTCAATGGACATGAGTTTGAGTAAACTCCGGAAGTTGGTGATGGACAGGGAGGCCTGGTGTGCTGCAGTCCATGCATTTGCAAAGAGTCGGACACAACTGAGCGACTGAACTGAACTGAACAGGAAGCTAAGATCCCACATGCCTTGTGGCCAAAATGCCAGGACATAACAAAGAAGCAATATTGAAATAAATTCAAACAAAGACTTTAAAAATGGTCCACAACAAAAAATCTTTAAAAAACTAGCAAACTTAAAACAAAAGAATCAAGTGAGGGTGCCTACTCTGCCCCTTCCTGGTCTCAGTCTCCTCATCTCTGAAAGCAGTCTAAGACTCCGCCTCACCACCGCACCGTCTTGCCACCGGGGATGGCTGGCATGCAACCCTTCCTCCAGTCCGTTGCTCACCCTGGGAACGAGCCCCGCCTCCTGCTTCAGCAGCTGGCTCAGCCGGGTGGTCTTCTTGGAGAGGGTGTGTGTATTGATGCGAGCCAGTCGCTCCCGGAGGCTCAGAGGCTCCACCTTGGTGTACTTGGAGGCTGCACCAAGAGGAAAAGGAGGGCACAGGGACCAGAGCTGACCCAGGAAAGTAAGAGTCCCTAACATCCCAGCTGGGCACCTCTTGGGCCCTCTTCTCAAACATCAGGGTCACACCCATTAGATCGGCAAATCTTGGAGGTAAAACACAGGGCTCAGAGTCCTCATTGACTGAAGAGGTTCATGCCAGCTTGACTTCTTGCCCCTCAGTTTCCTCTTCTGTAAATGAGGCCAACCACCTCCCAGGATTGCTGGGAGATCACATAAGATGACGGAAATGGAGCAAATGACTTAAGCTCTCATTTTACCCAGCTGTGAAATGGGACTAACAGTGCCAACCTCAGGACTATCGTAAGGATCAAACAAAATAATAAATGAAAAAAACAAGTCATAGCTAGCCCTTAGTAAACATTAGCTAAATTATCATTACTATACTGTTTTAGTTGTGTAAGTTTTTCCTCTACCTAGGACACTGTGACACTGCAGATCTTTCTGTATTAGCAACTTGACAGGCGGCAATCTCCCCACTTTCTCCTCCTACCCTCATCCCTGATACATACACAACTCTTTGTCTCCCAGTATTCATTTCTCCTTAGTATAGCAGCCATGTGGTTTGGATAAGAATGATTTTACTTTAGTTCAGGGAGTGGTTGCTGACTGTTATAAGCCAATTCACACGATCCCCACTCCTCTATCACAGTGACAGGTTCAAAGAAAGGCTTACAACACAGGCCTAAGACAATCAGTTAGTTCATGGCATTCCCCTAACCATGGCAATTGGTTCAGGGTGAGCATATGACTCAAATGAATCCTATGACTCAAATGAATTCAATTTAGTGTTTATAACTAAGCGGAAAAAGGATCCATGTTCTCCTGGAAGGTGTGGTGTTCAGATGTGAGTCTTAGGACAGCAATAACCACTTACTCTTATGAGGGAGGCCAGTTTGAAGAGGCAAGTGACACATAGTGAAGGTCATAGATAAGAAAATTATAGGGAAATGACACCAGCTCCCAGAAAATCCTACTTAAAGCCCACGTTACCTCTGGACTTGTAGGTTACATAAGTGACTGTCTTCCCTTTACTGGTGAAGCCCATTTGAGGTGAGTTTATTGTTAACTAGAAGCATTCTCACTAATGTATCGCCTAAATGCCCCAAGTCCTTACCCACTTCTTTGCGCCTCTTGTACTCATTGATGTTGGTGACCACATCCTGGAGGGCAGAGGTAGCCCTCTGAAGGACAGCGTAGGCACTGGTATCAGGGAGTGTGTTCTCCAGAATTTTCTGCAGCAGCAATGGGTATTTGGTAATCCTCTGCAGAGGAATTACCAGCAAGAAACTGAGGCCTGAAGGTCCAGCTTGCGGCCTGAGGGAGAAGGCTGGTGTTAAGTAGGTCAAGTCCACCCTTGGGGGCACCAAGGGGCCTGGGCTCCAGTGGCAGCTCTGCTGTTTAACTCACTGTGTGATCTCAGGCAAGTCACCCTCCTTTGGGGGTCCTCAATTTCCTCATCGGGTGCTGCTAGTTCTCACTTTACATTTTTCTAGGCCTCAGTTCCCCATATGTACTAAATCCAAAGGTCAGTTCTCCGTCCTCAGCTTACTCGGTCTCTCAATAGCAGACACAGAAGACCATTACCTCTTTCTCAGAACACTTTCTTCTTTTGGCCCCAGAGATGCCCTTTGTCCTGCTTCTCTCACCCCACAGGCCACTCTCCTGGCCTCCTCTGCTGGCTTCTCTCCAATGCTGGAGTGCCCCAGGGCCTCCTCTCTCCACTCACTCTCTTCCTGAGCTCCTTTGTTCCTATGGCTTTAAATACATGGCAAACCCAGATCTCCACTTCTTACTTCTGCCCAGGGCTCCAGACTCACACCGTCAACTAGCCTATTTGAGATCTCCACTTGGGTATATCTCAAGCACAACTCCATCTGCTGGACATGCACATGATACTTCATTTAATAAAACGGTCCTACTGCTTCAAAAAAGAAGCACTTTAAAAATCACAGGAATTTGGGAAATCCCTGGTGGTTTGATGGTTAGGATTCAGCGCTTCCATTGCTGTGGGCCCAGATTTAATCCCCAGTGGAGGAACTAAGATCTCACAAGCCTTGGGGCACAGCCCCCTCAAACTTTTTATTTTTTGTAATCATAGGAATTTAATGTTAGAGAGGCATATAAAGTATTTAAGGGTAAAGACTAATAGTATCTGTAATTTCCTTTAAATTACTTAGTATAAAATTAGATGTGGCAAACAGAGGTATTTATACTTGCTCATTTCAGGTGGGTGTGTGTGTGTTCATTACATTATTCTATTTTTCTATAGGGCTTGAAAATTTTTTTTTTTAGGGCTTGAAAATTTTAATTTGAAAAAGGAAAATACAAAACACAAGAACTAATAGTGTCAAGGTCCCTTCCATATGTATCATTTGATGCATAAATGATTATTTCTAGCCCCCTTCCTGAAGATGTCTGGAAGTTTCAGAAAGAGTGCCCAAGTCAATGGTATCTGGGACAAGGCTTCAACAGTCTTTTTTGATAATGACCAGTAGCCCTCAGACCCACCTTCTGAGAAACACACGAGGGTTTCAAACCTCAATGTCTAAGTCCTCCACGAAGACTCACAAATACCTCTCATGACTATTATCTGGCCTCCTCTCCACAGTACCTTTGCCTTTTGCTTTTCTTCCTATGGAAAAAACCTCCAGACCAAATGTCCAGGAAAGATCAGCCATAAGGTCTGGAACAGACAGAGCAGGTGGGAACTACCCCCTCCCTCCCATTAACTGCGGGAGGCTGGAACACAGGGGTGGAACTATCTGTCAGGATATGCCTGTGCTGACCATCTGCTCTCACCAAGGGTTTCCTAGCGCCTGGCTGACTGTGGGCAGGAGAGGTGGAAACAGTGGTCAGATATTTGCAAAACTCCTGTCCTCTGGGCTTACTTTTCATAGGAAAGGGACAATTGACTCATAGGGACAACTATTGCCTCACAAATCAGAGATGACAGAGGGCAGAGGGCCTTCAAAGAGATGATTACATCTCTTTTCCACAATCATCAAGAACTACAGAATTATAGCAACCTCTTTCTTTACAGCCTTTCTAAAGTAATTTGGAGAAAACTCTTTATGTAGCCTATCAGATGGGCAATAAAAATTAAAAGACTTGGGACTTCCTGGTAGTTTAGTGGTTAAGACTCTGTGTTCCCAATGCAGGGGATATGGGTGCAATAGTGACTGAAGAAATAAGATCCTGCATACCACATGGTGTGGCCAAAAAAAATTGAAAGACTCACCCAGAGTTGGAAGAATATGGGGAAACCAGCCCTCTTACATTCTCTTGGTGGAAGTATCAGTTGGTGGGATCTTTTTAGAGAGTAATTTAGCAATTTGTGAAATATACAATTCCCTCAATCCTACTACAGAAATCTACCCACAGAAATATTAACTCAAGAGAGCATGGATAAAGGTAGAAGTTATTCAGGAACTCTGTGACAGTAAAATTTGGGAAACAACTCAAATATCCATCAACAGGGGATGAGCTGACTATGGAAAAGAACCCTATGTAGCCATTAAAAAAGAACATGGTAAAAAAAAAAAAGGAACATGGTAAAATAATTAATGGCTATGGTTAAGTGAAAAAACAAGTCCTAGAATGTAGAGTAGGAGTCCCTTAAAAATTCATTAATTCATTCATTCTTACTATTTATCCATCCGTCCATCCATCCAGCATCTAGACTTTCCCATGGAAAGTCTATTTCTTACCTGTCTGTATATAGACAGAATCAAATTTGGATGGAACATGTTAACTACTAGGGGGAGGCATGGGAAACAGGAAACCAAGGGGGAATGAACTTATACTTTTTACTTTATATAATCTGTGTATTGTTTGAAATTTCCCTTCTTCCATAAGTATGTTATTTTCATACTTAAACAAAAAATGCCAATAAAGGAAAACAGATTATGTGTCTCCTCCCAACACTCTGCCTAAGCTGTTGTAGAACTGCAGGTGCTTTGTGTTGGACTGATCCACCTCTCCTCCCCATGGAAAGCTATGCCATTAGACTGGTCTCCCTAAGGCAAAGCTCCCTGTGGCTGCAAGGACAAGTCTCTGATTCCACTGGCCGCCAGGTGGGAAGCACTGCCTTAAGAGCTAGGATAAACTAAACACCTCACCAACTCACCCACCCAGTGGGAGGTAGCATATATTTTGGAATCACAAAGATCTAATGAGATGGTGCCATTTATCCTATCTGGATATCCAGCTGGTGTGATCCTAGTCAGCCAGGCTCAGAAAGAGCCCCATGATCTTCAGCACAGAAAGCCGTGATGACTGTTTCAGGAGGGAGGTGATTAATAGTTCTAGAGCAGCATACATAGTAGGAGCCCCTTAAAATTCATTCACCCACCATCCATCCATCCACCTACCATCCAATGTCTATACTTTCCGTAGGAAGTCTATTTCCTGTCTGCCTGTAAATACACAGAGTAAAATTGGGATGACCAAAAGGATGTCATTCCTGCTGCAACATTAGACCAGAGGATTCCACTGAGGGCAGTCTTAAAACCTGCAGGCTCTGGAGTGCTACAGGTATTTAGAGGACAGGGTCCCAGGGAAGCAGAATATCCTGCAAGGACAGTCTTGCATTATGGAGAATTGTTCTACGCTTCATATGCCCCTCTCAACATTCAGAGACTGAATGAATGCCTTGAAACGGGCTGCAAGTTCAAGAACTGAGGTATTTTTGTGACACCTGGACTCCATCCAGTCACATATCTTCACACTGGGAATTACTATGATACTAACTTTTGTAAATACGACACAGGCCATCTGTAAGAACATCATTCCTCATTTTCTCTGCCTCCCAGTATATAATATTATCCCTACTTCAATTATGTTATTTCCTCCTTTCTCTCATCATACACAAGGAAGTCAAGTTTGTGTCATTCCAGGGTACACATATTCTCTGCTCTTTTGGTTTTCTGTACTTTGTGTATAGAATGGCTTCTGACTCTTTTTTGCTTATAAACATGTGATTGCTAGTGTAGTGGTGCCCAAGCATTTGCATACTGAAATACATATTACATTATTAGAAATTATTTTCCTTTTATTTCTCCTTTAATTATAGCTAAGCTATTATGTTTATTTTTTTCAATTATGTATATGGGCAGGAGAATTTTTTTCAGAATGTAACGCAGGATAATAAATTTGTTGTAAAAAGGGAGCACTGGAACTGAAGGAGCAGAGAACCACAGTGTAGTCTCAGGGAAGCATAATCCCTTCCTAACCAAGATAACTACCACAGCTGGGAATTACTGAGTATTACCTGTATGCAATGAGACTACATCACCAAGAGCTGTTGCTTTTACTCCCACTCTACATGTAGGGAAGCTAGGTTCTGAGACACTAAATGGCTCCTGCCAAGGTGAATGAAGAGCAGAGACCTCGATTCGTTGCCAGGCTGCCTGGCGCCAAAGCCTATGAGAAATATCTGCCCTAGTTGGGAAACAGCGGAGTGCAGAAGATGTGACAAAGAGCAGTCTCTGTGCCAACTAGGGCCCCCCACACAGTGCTTCTAACATGTCTGAACTAAATGCCAATATTTAACACTGGGGAGACTTACATCAAAGCTTCTGGTTTCTCTTGAAAGATCAGAGGATCTGGCCACAGTGGAATCATATTTCTACACAGCAACTGAGGTAGATGGTTTACCAAAAATATGGCTGCAATTATTTTACTCTCTGTATCTATACCCTTTGAATATGACTTTGAAGCTTCTCCCACCAAGAAGTGGGGACTATTTTCCCACCTCCTGAGTCTGGCACAGCATGCCAATTCTAAGCCAAGATCTCAAAAGGCAGAGCTGAGTCAGCTCCTATGTCCCATGTTCATAGGAAAGTCCAGCCAACATCAGAAAAGCTGACCTATGGTTGATCACAGACATGTGAGGGAGTCCAGCCAGGACTAGAAAAATCATTTACTGAGTCCAGCGAAATTGTTAACATGCATAAATGTGACCTTGAGAAATATTTGCTTTAAATTTTGGAGATGATTTATATTTTAAACCACTATATTTGGGGTGATATGTTATAGCAAAAGCTACTTGATACAACAGTGATCAGCTGAGGCTGGGCTGCAGCTGCACTCTATATAGGGACTGCTGGCTCTGATTTGCCAGAGTCTCCATCACTCCCTTTTGTCTCACAGCTGGCATCCTACTCCCTTCATTTCTGATACTTGCCTCACTCCTGTAGAAATGTATTTAGTGACCCTTACAAAAGCCTAAGTTTGTAAGATCCATAAAGGGATCAAAGGAATCGAAGAAGAAAATGAAAGTAGGCTTTTTTGAAGGCTGGGAGGGGCTAGGACATGGCAACTTCAAAAGAAGGCTTCAGGGGGTACAAGGGTTAAGGATAAGATGTGCTGTAGCACATGGTTCCCACCATCTCACTGCCCTCCCTATGGTGGGCACAAATGCTGTTAAACAAATGTTTCTGCTTTTCCACCTCTGAACACATGGCTGGAAGGCATGCCCTGGCCTCCTGGTACTGGATGAAGTCAGGTGATTAGTTCTGGCTCTGAAAATTATGAGAAGCAATGGATATTACTTCTGGCCTGGAACATTTAGTAACCAGTGTGAGACCCTCCAGAGTCCTTTGTTCTTTGCCAAGTTACCGGCCATGTTCCAGACAGTGTCTGGGGTCAGCTTGGGTTCCAGAGTGAGCATGACACTGGGAAAAGCCCCAAGTTAACCCACACTGGAGCATAAGGAAGGTGGAAACCTCATTGGTTGAAACTACTAAAAGAGTTGGGGATTGTTTGTCTCTGCAGCATAGCCTAGCCTAGCCTGACTAGGACACTCCTGAAACAGTGTGAGCAGCCCCAAGCGAGGGTGAGACTTTAAGAGCCCCTGACCTTGGCATCTGTAGGGATCATTCTACTCACAGCACTGCCTCAATGATGCCCTGGATCTCCCGCTGCAGCTCTGGCTCCTTCCGGTAGGTCTCTACCAGCAGCAAGGCCTGTTCATAGCTGGCACAGTACACCTTATAGACTTGCTCCAACTCCTCTTGGAATTCCAGAAATGCATTACCTGACAGTGAAAAGGCAACAAGTTCTCAAAAGCATGTCTGCATGTCCTCTTGCTTAGAACAGGGAGGCCGTGAGTGACACAGCTAAGCACTTCAGCTCTGACATAAGATTGTCTGGCTTAACCAGCATTGTAACCTTGGGCAAGTCACCTCATCTTCCTCAGCTCCCATTTTTTCATCTCACTTTCAAAAGGCTGCTGTAGGATTAAGTGACAGAATGATAAAGTGTGTGCTTAATAGATATTATCTATAATTACAGCAATAATATTGAAAATTCTCACATTTGGACAATGCTTTATAGTTTACAAAACACATTCATGTTACATCTTTATAAATACCATGTGTAGCAAGTACAACTCCAAACCCTGTTTACAAAGACACCCTACAGCACAGCACGGATAGTCACAAATGTGGGCTTTGGAGTCAGAGAGAAGTAGGGCCGGAACTCCAGCCAACATTTTCCCAGTAGTACAGTCTAGGGTGAGTATCTGGTCCCTCTGACCCTCCATATTTTCTTCTATAGACAGGAATACAAATAGTACTCGCCTCCAAGTGTTCACTGGGATGATTAATTTTAAAAATGCATATAAAGCACCTGACACAAACTTCATTTCCCAAAAACTTACCAACTACTTATGTATTGACTGTGTATAAGGCACTCTTCAAAGTTAAGTTCTTTGAATGAAATAATGACCCTACCTCATGGGGCTGATATTCTCGTGGGGAAGACAGACAATAAATAAATATATTTATTTATATGTTACATATGCAAGGCGATCCAACCAATCCATCCTAAAGGAGATAAGTCCTGAATACTCATTGGAAGGACTGATGTTGAAGCTGAAACTCCAATACTTTGGCCACCTGATGCGAAGAGCAAACTCATTTGAAAAGACCCTGATGCTGGGAAAGATTGAGGGCAGGAGGAGAAGGGGGCGACAGAGGATGAGATGGTTGGATGGCATCACTGACTCAATGGACATGAGTTTGGGTAAACTCCGGGAGTTTGTGATGGACAGGGAGGCCTGGAGTGCTGCGGTTCATGGGGTCGCAAAGAGTCGGACACGACTGAGCGACAGAACTGAACTGAACTGAACTGATGCCAGGTAGTGATGAGTACCACAGATTTAAACAAAGTCAGATAAAAAGTTAGGTGCCACTGTGGTCAAGAATCTGCCTGCCAAGGCAAGAGACACAAAAGACGTGGGTTCGATCCCTGGGTTGAGAAGATCCCTTGGAGTAGGAAATGGCAACCCACTCCAGTTTATTCTTGCCTGGAAAATTCCATGGGATAGAGGAGACTGGCAGGCTACTGTCCATGGGGTCGCAAAGAGTCAGACATGACTGAGCAACTAAGCACATACACACAGGAGATCTATTTAGGAAAGACCTCCATAAAGATGTGGATGTTTATCACAGTCCAAAAGAATCCATCCCTGGGAAAGTCTGAGGGAAGAGCAGTGCCAGGCTTAGGGAAGGACAAATACAAAAGGCCTTAAGGCAAGTGAATGCTTGACATCCAGGTGACACAAGAAGGCAGGTGTGGCTGGAACACTGTGAGCAAGGGCACAAAGTAGAGAAAATAAACAGGAAACTGAAGCCAGATTATGTAGGGCCTTGAAGTAAGTAAGTATGGTATAGTAAGGTGTTCAGGCTTTATTCTAATGGTGGCAGGAAGCAACTGGAGGGTTTTGAGCAGGGGCGACAATGATCTAGTTTTTGTTTTAAAAGGATCACACCCATGCTCAATTTCAACAGCACTTACACTAAAGTTATAACAATACAAGAAAGACTGGCAGTCCCCTGCACACGAATGATATGCCAAGTTGTGACATTCTATATTTAAAAAAAACACAGAAATTTATGAGATTAGTTACTTATTGAGGAGACAGAATGGGATAGAAAGAACGGGGAATGGGATAGGATAGTAGGGATGAGAGGGAAACAATGCTTTACTGAATATATCTTCTTATTTAGCTCTGATCTTGGAACCATGGTACTATTTTACATACTCCCAAAATAAATATACAGCTAAGACCAACCAGGATGTGGAAGGGGAACCCCAAATAGAAAACAAAAAATAAGGAATGAACCTAATTCTACTACAAATGAATAACATAACCACACTGAAGGGTGTAGGAAAAAATTAACGGAAGTATTTTTCACAAAGGTGCAGGCTAGTAATTCTAATTAAAATATAAAATAACCAAAAAAAAATACTCTAAGTGACTACTAACTTCGAACAAATAAGTAAACACACTGTAGATAATGGCAACCATTTCTACCTGTCACAGAAAGATGCTGCAAATAAGAAAAGAGGAAAGATTAGAATGAACCCTGAGATATTGGACTGGAATTGGAGGTATTAGTAGGAACTCATGGTTTTATGTATTTTAAATATATAAATATAGATGGGCTTCCCTGGTGGCTCAGTGGTAAAGAATCCAACTGCCATTGCAGGAGATGCAGGTTTGATCCCTGAGTCAGGAAGATCTGCTGGAGAAGGAAATGGCAACACACTCCAGTATTCTTGCCTGGGAAATCCCATGGACAGAGGAGCCTGGCAGGCTGTAGTCTATGGGGTCACAAAAAGTTGGACATGACTTAGCAACTAAACAACAACATAGATGGATAGATATAGACAGAAATGTAGATGTGTGTACACGCATGTGTTAGTATATATACACATATTTCCTACATATCAGCTAAGAGGGCCTAGAAGCAATGACCCCCCAGGAGCAACGAGCACACCAAAAAGGTAGGAACCAGGTCTCCCAGGAGGAAAGCTGATTGCAAGGATGGGGCAAGGAAAATACAAGATGAGCTGAGAACACCTTGTGACGTCAGAAAGCAAGAAAGTGCTCACAAATTGTTAGAGACACATTGAAAGGACACAGGTGTCAACTTGAAAGAGCTCCCTATGGCCAAAGCTGGTAAAATTTGAGCAAGAAAATGAATAATAATAGTACTGGATTCTGATTTATGGAATAAAGCAAATATCCATGAATTTATACTTGTGTAAAAATTGAATAAAGAAACGAATGGGTACTGCACAGGGAATAGAGCCAATATTTTATAACTATAAAAAATGTATAACTATAACCTTTAAAAATTATGAACCGGTGCCACAACTACTGAAGCCCACATGCCTAGAGCCCAAGCTCCGCAACAAGAGAAACCACTGCAGTGAGAAGCCTGAGCATAAATAGAGAGTAGCCACCCATCACCTCAACTGGAGAAGGCCTGCGTAAAGCAAAGATGATCAAACACAGCCATAAATAAAATAAATAAATATAAAAATTGTGACTCACTATGCTGTACAATTAAAACTTATAAACACTGTAAATCAACTATACCTAAAAATTTGAAAACTAAAAATAAGTTAAAAAAATGAATGGAAGGGACATTTCTTGCTTATAGAATAAGAATTAATAAATGTAGGAGGAAAGGGGAGTTGGGGGTTGGAAAAATGGTTAAAGGGGGTCAACTGTTTGGTGACAAATAAAAACTAAATTTTCAGCTGTGGGCACACTGTAGTATATATAAAATCAAACAAAATGTTGTACACATGAAATTATTAATATATATTAAGAATATTATAAATCAATTTTAATGCCATCAATCAAGAAATATATGTAGGAGAAAAATAGAGTCCTAACCACTGGGAATTCCCTCTACTTAATTTTTCTGTAAATCTAAAAGTGCTCTAAAAAAATAAAGACTACCTACAATGCATGTAGACCCGGGTTCAATCCCGGGTTGGGAAGATCCTCTGGAGAAGGAAATGGCAACCCACTCCAGTACTCTTGCCTGGAAAATCCCATGGACGGATGGAGCCTGGTAGGTTACAGTCTGTGGGGTCACAAAGAGTCAGACATGACTGAGCAACTTCACTTCACTCACAGAGTGTGAAAGATGATTCCTAGAACCAACGATTACTTAAGGTGGTATACAGCTAATTAATGAACCACATATAAGAGTTAAGAAGCTGACAAAAAATAAAGTCTATTAGAGCTATACTATGTTGAGACTAAATCAGGAGTAAAACATGGGACGAGGAATAGCTATTAAAAGGCTACTCCAGGACTTCCCTGATGGTCCAGTGGATAAGAAGCCGCCTTGCAATTCCGGGGACATTGGTGTGATCCCTAGTCTGAGAAGATCCCACATGTCCTGGTACAATTAAGCCCATGAGCTGCAACAGCTGAAGCCCATGTGCCCTAGAGCCTGTGCTCTACAAGTGAAACCATGGCAAAGAGAAGCCTGTGCACAACTAGAGAGTAGGCCCCACTCTCTACAACTAGAGAAAGCCCACACAGCAACAGAGACCCAGTGCAGCCAATAATAAATAAATAAATGTAAAAAAAAAAAGGCAAGACTATTTGGTTGTCTATCTAAGGGGATAGTGGTGAGGGTGAAGAGAAACGTATTAGTCACAAAAGGGCAAGTAAGCCACAGACCACAGGAAGCCCAGCTAAGCCTAAAGCCAGCTGATGCTGTGTGTTGTACCTGTGAAAGGCACCAGGCCCCCCTTGAGACAGGGAGTAACTGGACCAGCATGGTCCAGCTCTCAGCAAAAGTTTCCACAGCGAGACTACCACCCCAGGAACCAAAACCCTTCCCCAGTGCTGGTCAAGACAATCCTCAGAGAGAACTCCCTCAGGAGAAGCCCCAGAACAAGGGAGAACGTGACCAGGAAAGACTACCCAAAATTGCAGTTAGGGAGAATGCATAGGACAGAGAGGTCAGCTAGCTGCAGAGATGACCTCACTAGAAGATAGCTTAGGCGTAGCCCTGAAACCTGGGGCGGTTCCCACATTCTTCTCTCCTTAGGCTGTTCTGCAGGAATGTGACTTTTGCCAAAGAAACTGCATGGCCAGGGGCAGGAGTGTTTCCACAACTGAAGGTGGAGGAAAGCAAACTTCCTAGAGCAGAGAGCAGAGCTGTCCAACAGGCAGGAATGCAGGGACACCAAAGACTTATTTCTTCTCCTCTTGTCCTCCTTAAAGTCACGGATTGGAAAGTCACAGCAGCTAAGAGTTACTCTCAGTATCAAAAGGCCACTATACCTCTGGCTGGAGAAATGAGAAAGGGAGGCAGGATGTTGTCTGAAGGAGCTGCTCAAATCATGACTCTGCCTGGTCAAGCTGTTTGACCTTAGGAAAGTTACTTAACCTTTCTGAGTCTTGGGTTTTTCTTCAATAAAATGGGGATGATAATGTTGTTGTTCAGTCACTAAGTTGTGCCCAACTCTTTGGGACCCGTTGGACTGCATGTAGCACACCAAGATCCTCTGTTGTCCACTAATAATAATAATCAATAAGTAACAAGGTCATGAGAATAAAAAGGGCTATTTCATGTTCAGTTCAGTTCAGTCGCTCAGTTGTGTCCAACTCTGCGACCCCATGCACTGCAGCACACCAGGCTTCCCTGTCCATCACCAACACCTCGAGCTTACTCAAACTCATGTCCATGAAGTCGGAGATACCATCCAACCATCTCATCCTCTGTCGTCCCCTTTTCCTCCTGCCTTCAATCTTTCCCAGCATCAGGGTCTTTTCAAATGAGTCAGTTCTTTGCATCAGATGGCCAAAGTATTGGAGTTTCAGCTTCAACATCAGTCCTTCCAATGAATATTCAGGACTGATTTAGGTTCCCATAGTCATGTCTGGCACCGAAATGGGTACTATTTTCATACAGATGGCATGAAACTGAAGCTCAGAGACATGAACGAGATGTGGGTGACAGAACCTTGCAAGTCAGATTCCAAAGCCCCTGCTCTAAACCACTTGACCTATAAGCCATGAGCCATATATGACTCCTGGGAACTTGAAATATGGAGAATCCCAATTAAGATGTGCTGTCAGTGTAAATGACACTGGATTGCAAAGACTTTGTACCAAAAAAAAAGTAGAACGTATCATGAATAAGTTTTATACTAATTACATGTTGAAATATTACTTTGGATATATTGGGTTAAATGAGATATATCATTAAAATTAATTTCACTGCTTTAGTTTTTTTAATGTAGCTACTCAAAAGTCTTAAATTAAATTCAAGGCTCACACTGCATTTCTTTCAGATAACACTGAACTAGAACATGGTGCCTTCCAGTGACAGGAGCCCTTGGGGGAACTCCACAGGGAGCTGCATTTGAAATCATTCGTAAGAACACAGAACCTGACTCATTTGGGAGGTTCATGCCTGATGTCCAAAAATCTTTTAAAATGCTGTGGTATGAAACTAGGATAAGGGCCTCCCTTGCATAGCAGGGCCTGGGGGTCGAGAGAGGAATAGGGAGAGCTGGTAGAAACCAGCTCAGCTTTGATCAAGCACAAAGTTGCACCTAGGAAAAGAAAAGCCCGTGTGGATTCTTTGTACCTCTTTTTGGCTAACCATAAGGGGCAGAGGATGAGAAGGCTATTTTCTGTACACTCAGTAAAGGCCAGGGGACAGGCTTGCCAAAATGGGGGGGGGGGGGGCAGGATATAAGATGCTCAGTTAAATTTGAACTTCAGATAAATAATGAAAGTTTTAATATAAGTATGTCCCAAGTATTCCATGGGATAAACTTAGTATAAGTTTAGTATACTTAGTAAACTTAGTATAACTTTCATTGTTTATGTAAAATTCAAATGTAATTGGGCATCCTGTATTTTATGTGGCAAATCTATCAGGGAAACAGGGAAGCCAGGGAATGGAGATGTCGCCAGGCTTGGACAAAGTAGCATCTTAACTTTTTGCAGGTTAAACTGGAAGGCAGAGATGAACAAGTGAGGACCCTTAACAAGGAAGTAGTTGAATCTCAAACCCAGAGCAACAGAAGTCCCCAAAACCCTGGAGCGTCTTCAACCTGAGGTTGTAACAATTTCTACTCAAGGGACTTCCCTGGTGGTCCAGTGGCTAAGACTCTGCACTCCCAGTGCAGGGGACCTGGGTTTGACCTCTGGTCAGGGAACGAGATCCCACAAGCCGCAACTAAAATCCAGTACAAATGTAACAAAAAATTTCACTCAAATAAGTGGTCATCATTAACAGAAATATAGATAAAATGATAAAAGGTAAAAATATCTACCTAGATACTGTTAAAAAATCTTGTTCCTTAATTTTGTATTCCTCTATCATTTAAAGGAAATAGTTGGGCTTTCCTGGTGGCTCAGTGATAAAGAATTCACCTGTGAATGTAGGAGACATGGATTCAATCTCTGGTCTGGGAAGATCCCATATGCCATGGAGAAACTAAGCCTGTGCATCACAACTCCTGAGCCTGTACCCATCTACCTTTCTCGGCCCATCCACCTTTGTCCTCTGACTCCACCTGAAAACCCCTGACCACAGAAGTTTTATCAAGCAGCCCCAGAACAGGAGACGGAAAGGGACTGCAGAAGTTTGAAGTTTACACCTACTCATTCCTCCTCCTTTATGTCTGGTCATCAGACATAACTGGACATAACTGGACATAACTATTTCAGAATCAGGAGTCCACCTCCATCTCTCACCTAGGTGAAGGTAAAAGCACCAGCTGATCTCATTACTTCCACTCTTACCACTCTTTCACAATCCACCGTACACAACTATCAAAAGGATCTTTGAAAACGAAATCTGACCAAATCACTCCCCTGCTCAAAATTGTCCAATGATATCTCATCACACTTAGGAGAAAATCCACACTCCTAGAAGGCCTTTCAGGATCTGGTTCTTCTCTGCCTCTTCTACCTATCTCCTATACTCCCCCCTCGCTCATTGCCCTGGAGCCTCACCAGCCTTGTCCATCAAATATCCCAGGCTCATCTCTGCCAAAGAATAGGGCCTCTGCATACCTGTTTTCTCTACTCTTGGTCCAGATCATCTCGTAGCTGGTTCCTCCCTAACAGGTCTCAGTTCAAATGTCCTCTCCTCAGGAGGCCTTCTCTTTTCTCAAAAGTTACCATATTTGTTATTCTTTAAATTACAAATTACTACTTAAAATTCTCCTGTTTATCTGTGTATCTTCTGTCTCTCTCTCACTAACCCAAAAGAACAGAAGATCAGACCCTCTGGTTGACTGAACCCTTCTGTAACCTCAGCACACAGCACAGTTAATGGCACACTGCAGGTGATCACTAAGTACCTATTGAGTGAACGACTGTGAAAAAAACCCCAGGATAGAGTCTCAGCCATACCACTAACCAATTATGTGTCTATCAGTATGTCCTCTCTGTCTTTAGGCCTCAGTCTCTTCATCTGTAGTGATAGGTTGGGCTGGATATCTTTTGAGGGTCCTGCCAGCTCTGACATACTGTATTTCAGGGACTCCCAAAACAGCCTCTCATTGAGCTGCATCTCCCTGGAATGCTGGGGAAAGTACAGCAATGACCACATGCCTAGAACAATTCCACGGGAATCTCACGCTGCCAACTGCCTGGTTTTTTGCTCACCGATCAGCTGCACTTGTTCCTCTTCCCTGGAGGCTGTCTCCTGCAGATCATGAAGCAGTCTTCTGTTCACCTTGATGATGTCATCGATGTTTGAGAACAGGACATCCAGATCTCCCTGTGGCAGCTAAAAGGAACAAAGACTCCGTGGAAGGTTGCTCAGGAGTTTTGTAAGAGTGATTTTTTTTGTAGGTTTTGGACAGTAGTCCAGAATAGTCATGCTATCGGGGTTCCACCTCTCTTAGGAAGACCGTTCCAGAGGAATGTTTGAAATGACTTTGAAATTTTATAAATTAGGTATTTTTATTACTCTAAGAGAAGAGAGGAAAAGATGGAGCATTCAGCATGAAAGGAAAGCTGAACTGCATTATCCTAGGTCTGCTGCCAACTATAATTTTTCTTCTCTCATTTCCCCATCTGTCATATAAGTGTGGGAAGTTGGATTTCTTCCCAGCTCTGACACACTTGGCACCTACCACTATTACCTTTAGATATATTCTGAACTCCAGCCCCTATGAACGAAACTACACCACTGTTAAAAGGATGCAGGATATCTACAGATGTTGACTGTGCTCAGTTGCTTCAGTAGTGTCCGATACAATCTGTGGACTGTATCCCGCCAGGCTCTTTTGTCCATAGGATTTTTTAGACAGGAATACTGGAGTGGGTTGCCATGCCCTCCTCCAGGGGATCTTCCTAACCCAGGGATTGAACCCAAGTCTCCTGTGTCTCGTGCATTGCAGGCAGATTCTTTACTGCTGAGCTGACAGGGAAGCCCTATATAGGATATATATACAGATAGAAGCCCTGGATGCACAATCGAGTGGGAAAAGCTAACTGTATAAAAATATCTAGGGTATGCTTTATTTTTGTTAAAATAAGTAACAATCCATATTTGTTTGTTTAATGCCTCCAGAGGAAAAATCCCAATTTCTGGAGGGTGAAATAAGGGAGGGTTTTCATCTACATTATCTGCTTATTTCATTTATTCAATAAATACTAATTGGAGTCCATTATTTATATGTCAAGAACTGGGATACACTGAACTATTAATAAACAGCCTTTCCCCTTATGGACCTTACATGCTAGGGGATGGTTGAAATTTTAGAAAGAGAGCCTGTGATATTTCTGAAACTGGGGTGAAAAGATGTAAAAAATGAATACTAAACTAGAAATCCATGTAATGATAACTTTTTCATGCTACCACGCTCCAAATGAGACAATTACAAATAGGTCACTTAAAACAATCTGTTCTAAACTTAAAAAAGGGCTATTTTATCCATTAGCTCATTTCATTCTCTGAGGTGATTCTTCTCTGCCCATTTAGCAGAAGAATACACTAAGACTAAGCAACTAACACTTTTTATACTAAGGCTCCAAGGTGTCAAAAGCCTTGCTGAAAGACGAATGGATAAAGAAGCTGTGGTACATATACACCATGGAATATTACTCAGCCATTAAAAAGAATTCATTTGAATCAGTTCTAATGAGATGGATGAAACTGGAGCCCATTATACAGAGTGAAGTAAGCCAGAAAGATAAAGACCATTACAGTATACTAACACATATATATGGAATATAGAAAGATGGTAACGATAACCCTATATGCAAAACGGAAAAAGAGACACAGATGTATAGAACAGACTTTTTACTCTGTGGGAGAAGGCGAGGGTGGGATGTTTCAAGAGAACAGCATCGAAACATGTATATTATCTAGGGTGAAGCAGATCACCAGCCCAGGTTGGATGCATGAGACAAGTGCTCGGACCTGGTGCACTGGGAAGACCCAGAGGGATCCGGCGGAGAGGGAGGTGGGAGGGGGGATCGGGATGGGGAACACATGTAAATCCATGGCTGATTCATGTCAATGTATGACAAAACCCACTACAATACTGTAAAGTAATTAGCCTCCAACTAATAAATTAAAAAAAATTTTAAAAAGCCTTGCTGAAGGTTGCAGGGCCAGTAGTAGAAGTACCATGACTTCACATACACCACTTTCCCCTCCATCAAACCTGCCCCAGGAACAGATGTGCGGTCTCAGAAGCCGGGACCCATGTTTGCCTCTATAAAGACAAACTGAGTGTGGCCCCACCCAGGTACCTGCTGCAGACGGCTCCTTATGTCAGAGGCACAGAGCTGGAGCACGTGCAAGTAGGAGACCTCGGTGTCAATGAGTTCCCTGACAGCCAGCCTCTGCTGGACCAAGGATCTGTCCTCAGAGAGTCGATCATCCCCATCTGGAGCACCAGTTCTAGACGACAGCGCGTCGTCCCCATGATTCGTCATGTCAGCAGGTTCTGGAAAGACAGACACATCCAGATTCACTTCTGGGAGCTCTACTGGAACACACTGCCTTTAGTCCAGAGACAACTATTCACCGAGTGGCCTAAAAACATCTTTAGCTGCCTACAGAGTCAAGATGAACTATTTATTACTATCTGAACAAATCTTAAAAGGTAGAACTCAGCTCAGATAATTGTTGACATTTTTAATTCATTTCCCAGGATTCAGACAATGTGCTTGCTTGGCTTTTTCTCACCCCCCCAGCTCTCAACCCAGATTTCTTTATCTGGTTCACTGACTCTCTCTCACCCTCTTTCTCCCAAGGGTTCCCTCCTTTTCACCTGCCACTACCCTATTCAGGCCACACTAACTATCACCTTGACTATTTCCACAGCCTCCAGAATCATTTTTTCAAATCCAAACCCCTCTCCCACCTGCTGCCACCCACACCCATTCATCTTGGATATGCTCCCAGTTTAACCTTCCTGAAACAAAGCTTGTGATCTGGTATCCTCTGCCTCTGGCCTCATTCTCCCTCTTCCCTGAGGCACTCCAGTGAAAGAAAGTCACATGCTTTTCTCCATTCCCGCAAAGTCATTTCCTGCCTCTGTTTTTGCACCTGCTGTGACCCCTCCCATGCCTCTAGGCTCTGACACTCATCTCTAAGGCCTTTCCTGATCCTCCCTGCCAGATGTTCTTTTCTCTTCCATCTCTAAGTTTAAAAAGTACAAATGGCAATATTATGGACAAGAAAAATCTCCCTACTACAAAACACCTAGAAATGCAAGATCAGCCATAACAAACTTCCTTTTCACTGGATGGCAAGTATTGCAAGAAAGTAAAGGAAATCAGCAGGGACCCCCAACCAGAGGGAATGGAAAACCACAGCACAAACAGCTAAGCTGATGCAGCTGTAGCCAAAGTGGACAGGGTGGGCAAAGAAGAAAGCACTGCCCAGCTCAGTGATTCAGAGACTTGGGCATTAGTGCCCAGGGAGAATCAGGAAACAAGCTCCTTTCCCCAAGCATGCTAGCAAAACGGGGGACTAGAAAAGAAATGCCCCCCTACCTACACAGAAAATGACAAAGATGTTTCTTCATCTTGACTTGGGTCCTGAGTAAAGGAAAATTCCTTTCTGAAAACTCATAACAGGCCTGCTTTCACTGGATCGCAGGTTCAAATGTATACTACACATGTGTTCTCAATGCTGAGAAATATGCCACAACAAAAAAGAAGTCCTGGACTAATGCTAGCATTAATACCCACAGAAAAAATAAAATGTCTCCAGGAGGACATATTCTTAACCTAGGCCACATGGTACTCCAAGAGATAACCCTATCCTGAAGATGAGCTTAAAATCCAAAATTACAAGAACTCCAGTGTAAGTGAGCATCATCAGAGACCACAAGAACAGGATTAGATCTCCAGAACATCAGACAAGCAAACTGTCAGACAGAAACTATAAAATAAGCAGGAAAAGAAAAGACATACAAAAAATAAAGACCTGTATGATTTTTTAAAGCACCTAGCAGAACTTATAGATGTTAAAAATTTAGCCTTCGAAATTAAAAATTAAATGGACACTTTAAACATTTAGGAAAGAGAAATAGGAAAGAAGCAGATAGATATGAAGAAATTATCCAGACTGCTAAAAAGAAAGTGAAAATCATGCAAAATACGAAAGAGAATTAAGGGATCTGGATACTGAAATAAGGTCATGTACCAACTCTGTTTCCAGGGGACAAGAATAAAGAGAGTGAGAAGAGGCAATATATGAAGAGATGAGACTAATAATTGTCCAGAATTTTTTTTTTGTCCAGGATTTATAAAAGAGATTATTGCTTAGATCTAGGAAGTACAAGTACCAGGCAGGATAAGTTCTTTTAAAAAAATCAAATCTAAACACACTAGGAGGAAATTTCAGAATCCTGAAGGACTGGAGAATTTACCTTATAGTTTCCTTGTCAAGAAACTATGTTCTACCAAAATAAAGAAATAAATCACACAAAAAAAGACACGAGATATAGGAAACTGGTAACCTAATATGTGAGAGAGGCCAAGGAAATTCCCAAGATAGATAAAAGGAAATCCTAAGTTTGACGGTTGGTGACAGACAGCAAACAGTCTGGGCTAGATACTAGAATGTCTTGAGGACAAATTTACTGAAACAGCAGAGAATATGGTCCTTATTTAGGCAATTACACAGACAATACATGTGAAACTAAGAAATAAACCAACAAACAAAAAAATTGTTATAACAATTTTTATAACAAGATTGTGCAGAAAAGATAAAAGTACTTATGCGTCACTACCTGATTCAACTATAAATAGAATCTACACAGGTAATAATGCAAGTGATCTAATTCATATTATGTACTGAGAGGACAGAGTGTTGGAGAAGGAGTCAAAAAGAGCTAAAGCCTAATCGTCCATAGGGGAAATCAAAGAACAATGCCTAAATTGTACTGCTCAAGGAGGAACAGTACATATGTACAATCGGCTAAAATCAACGGAAGGAACTGCCTGGTAGTGCCTGGAGAAGGCAAGAGAAGAGGACAGGGTGCTTTTTATAACAAACACTGTACAACAGAATTACCTGTTTCTCCTTCTCATCACAAATGTAGAACTATCTATCTCTTTAAATTATATGCTTTTATAGCTTTGAGGGGGCTTCCCAGGTGGTGCTAGTGGAAAGGAATCCGCCTGCCAATGCAGGAGACAAAAGTGATGTGGGTTAGATCCCTGGGTTTGGAAGAGCTGCTATAGTAGGAAATGGCATCCCACTCCAATATTCTTGCCTGGAAAATTCCATGGGCAGAGGAGCATGGCAGGTTACAATCCATGGGACTGCAAAGAGCTGGACACAACTGAGCATGCACGCACACACACACATACACACACACACTGCTTTGAAGTGAACTAAAAATTAAATAATGAAGGACAGAAATGGTATGGACCTAACAGAAGAAGGAAAGTTATGACTAACCTAGACAGCGTATTAAAAAGCAGAGACATTACTTTGCCAACAAAAGTCTGTCTAGTCAAGGCTACGGTTTTTCCAGTAGTCACATATGGATATGAGGGTTGGACTACAGAGAAAGCTGAGCACCAAAGAATTGATGCTTTTGAACTGTGGTGATGGATGAGACTTTTGAGAATCCCTTGGACTGCAAGGAAATCCAACCAGTCCATCCTAAAGGAGATCAGTCCTGAGTGTTCATTGGAAGGACTGATACTGAAGCTGAAACTCCAATATTTTGGCCACCTGATGCAAAGAGCTGACTCATTTGAAAAGGCCCTGATGCTGGCAAAGATTGAAGGCAGGAGGAGAAGGGGACGACAGAGGATGAGATGGTTGAATGGCATCACCGACTCAATGGACATGAGTTTGGATAAACTCTGGGAGTTGGTGATGGACTGGGAGGCCTGGCATGCTGTGGTCCATGGGGTCGTAAAGAGTTGGACTCAACTGAGCGACTGAACTGAAATGAACTAACAGAAGCAGAAGATACTAGGAAGAGGTGGCAAGAATACACAGAAGATCTTCATGATCCAGACAACCAGATGGTGTTATCATCCACCTAAAGCCAGACATCCTGGAATGTGAAGTCAGGTGGGCCTTAGGAAGCATCCCTACAAAGCTAATGGAGGTGATGGAATTCCAGTTGAGCTATTTTAAATCTTCAAAGATGACGTGGTGAAAGTGCTGCACTCAATATGCCAGCACATTTGGAAAACTCAGCAGTGGCCACAGGACTGGAAGAGGTCAGTTTTCACTCTAATCCCAAAGAAAGGCAATGCCAAAAGAATGTTCATACTGCTACACAATTGCTCACAAAAACTCATCTCACACACTAGCAAAGTAATGCTCAAAATTCTCCAAGCCAGGCTTCAACAGTACATGAACCATGAACTTCCAGATGTTCAAGCTGGATTTAGAAAAGGCAGAGGAACCAGAGATCAAATTGCCTGGGAAGCCTGGCATGCTGCAGTCCATGGGGTCGCAGAGAGTTGGACAGGACTGAGTGACTGAACTGAACTAAACTGAACAATTAAATGTAAGGAAAAGTGAAAATTTCTCAATTTTGCTGGAGAGCAATATTCCAAAATGAATTATATTCCTGTGCAAACCAACAACAATTTTCAAGAGTTCATTTAAGGAAAAATAGCAGCATAAGAATAAAAAGATTCAATAACAATGTGTTATTTATTCCTTCCTAAATATCTTAATTTAACAAAAGATGCGGAATTCCCTGGCAGCCTAGTGCTTAGGATTCCAGGTTTTCCCTGCCATGGCCTGAATTCAGTCCTCAGTTGGAGAACTGAGATCTCACAAGCTACACATACAATTAAAGAAAAAAATAATAAATGTACAAAATCTTTATGGAGAAAATGATAAAGTTAAGTCACTCAGTCGTGTCTGACTCTTTGAGACCCCATGGACAGTAGTCTACCAGGCTCCTCCATCCATGGGATTTTCCAGGCAAGAGTACTGGAGTGGGTTGCCATTTCCATCTCCAGGAGATCTTCCCAACCCAGGGATTGAACCTGAGTCTCCTGCGTTGTAGGCAGACGCTTTACCATCTGAGCCACCAGGGAAGTCCCCCAAATGATAAAGCTTTATCTAAAATATATTTAAGAACTAATTAGGAATTCCCTGGGGGTTCAGCCGCTAGGACTCTGAGCTTCCACTGCTGAGGGCCCGGGTTCAATCCTTTGTTAGGGAACTAAGATCCCACAAGCCATGCAGTGAAGCCAAAAAAAATCAAGCAAACAGAAACATAATGAGATACCATTCCATGTCGAAGAGATCAGCAAAATATGAAAATAAAATGTTGGTGACACTGTATGAATGGGAAATCTCATATACTGATATGATTATATAAATTGTTGCAACCACCCTAAAGAGCAACTTGGCAATATTTAGAAAAGTTGAAAATTCACACACTATCAGGCCAAGGAGTTCTACTCCAGGATATACCCTCACCTCTGAGACACTTCTC